AGCGATGTTTCTGCTTCTGCGACTGGAGGGCCGGTCGCATGCCCCTTGGAGCAACAGGGTATGTAGACAGGCACATCTCCACGTATGAAGTCTGTAGCAGCGCTGACCATGAAGAAGTATGCGAACTTTGATTTTATCCAGCTGTGTAGTCTACGGATTCCAAAGTAACGAAACCTAAGACTCATCTATGTAGATTCGGAGCAGAAATGCCGCAGGCTTCACAGCTGTGCTGGCCAAATGTGATATCCTTTTGTCAAAGACGACACTGGCGAATACCCCAGACCTGCATAAGATGGCCAAGGACTTCTACTAGCGGTTACTAGCGCTGTATATAATTAAAGTGTGTATCAGTATCGTAGACAGACTGATAAGACCCTGGTGCTGGAAGGACCTCGCTGCAGCCTCTGTCGAAATATGGAAAACTGCAGATGAGCTTCGCAATTGTTTGCAAGCTCGGCGAGAGGGCCAAGCGATCATCGTGGTGGTTTCTTCTCAGCAAAGAATATTTGAATTCTTGTGCAATTCTTTTGGGTTTGGCCGGTTTGGCCCTAAATGTCCCTAACCGATGATTTTGCACAAGATACTTACTGATGGTCTCACTTCTCCTTCTGCAGCATCAGCATCTAGTCTTTGCTTCGCAATTTTGCATCCGAGGACAAGGATGAGGCAAGGCTGGTGATTGACAAAATGTTCACCACAAGCTTGTTGTGTAACTTGTTCTCAATTCCGGTCGATTGCTTTGTCAATTCATTGATGGCATTAAGCTATTGGTATATGTCATACATGTCAGTGATTGTCAGTGTGTGCGTGTGCGTGTGTGTGTGTGTCAGTTTCTTCATCAGTGTAGAGCTAGAGCCACCTCCAGGCCCACAGAAATGGACTGGAATCTATTGCTGCCAATTTGTCCGAGCGGCAGAGCTTTGTACAACCCAGCTGGCTTTCAGATTCTTGGGTTCAACATTTAAGTCACAGCACTGCACAATCGGAATGCTTTTCTTATCCCCCTGCATCTTTGGTTTTCGCGTGTCTACCACCCTGATTGCCAATCAACTCTCTATCATCTCCCTCTATTGGTCAAAATTGCCGTTTGTTTTGTAGCAGAAAATACATCTGCAAGATTCTGAAGTATGTTTGCAGTTTCGTTGTGGGATCTCCGGCTTAGGAAACCTATTCTCAGCGTCGCCGATTGCCAGTGGAGTCCTTTGGTGTGTTTGTCACGGAAGATGTGCAAGAACCGCGTCCAGCTCAAGGGGCAGCTTGGTCTGAGGCTTTCAAAAGCATTTTGTCAAAGTCTGATGTTGCAAGTAACACATTGGGGGCGCCCACGAAGAAAATTAACTGACATCCGCCACTCGGCCGACTTGCCTTGGTAGGAAGATTGATTGGTTTTGGCCACTCGCCCCGCTTGCCCTTGCCCTGCTTGCCCTGCTTGCCCTGCTTGCCCTGCTTGCCCTGCTTGCCCTGCTTGCCCTGCTTGCCCTGCTTGCCCTGCTTGCAAGCAGGGCAAGCAGGGCAAGCAGGGCAAGCAGGGCAAGCAGGGTAAGCAGCATATATAATCATATATATATAATATATATATATATATTGGCAGGTCCTGATTTGTCCAAATTGGCCCTCTCACCAGAAAAAAACGCCGATAACTAACAAACAATATATTGTATAACAAAACCCAAGCGGAAGCGGGGCAAACGGAGTAAACGGGGCAAACGGGAAGAATCAGCGATCTTCCTTCGGTTTGCAAGTAGGGCAAGTCGGGCAAGCGGGGTAAGGAGGGAGATTCACTTCTTTCTTTACAAGCGGAGCAAGGGGGCCAAGCGGGGCAAGCGACCGAAATTACTTGGCGGCCCCGTGGGGCAACCACACCGAAGTAGCAGTCATAACATTCGTTTGTGAAGTCTTTTTGTCTGGTCTTTGTGTTGGATGCCGGTCCTTGCTCAAGATGTTGACCAGCACGAAGCATCACAGAACTGTGGCGCCTCTAGTATTTCCATCTAATAGCGTAGGTACTTGAACTAAGCGCGCTAGCATTCCACAGTCATTGTGCTGTACTGGAGTTTTTGGGGTCTCTGCGCGTGGAAGAGGCTTCCTATGCATGGCAGCCAGCAGAGATGAAGCGTTTGGAAGAGGTCTCCGAGCGCCCTGGCTAGAGTGGTTTAGATCTTTCAAGCCGTTGGATTCACTTTGGATGTTTTCGGGATCTGTGCAGAATCAAGTGGCTAGACTGGCATAGACCTTGATGACTTCAAGCTCCTCCACCCGGCACCTGGCAACTAGCCGAGGCAAGCTCATCAGGAAAAAGAATCCAAGGCCAGTGGGCCAGACGCAATTAGCGCAAAGATCGCCAAATTGATACTCAACTTGCAAAAGATTGTGGCACGTGTAGCATCTTTTGGCTAGATGCAGAAAGCTTTGCTTGTCGCAGACCGGTGGCTCCATCAATTTGTTGAGCGCGATCCAAGCCAGTGCAGAGCAGCAAGCTCGTCGCGACAAGGAATCCAAG